ATTTTCTCCCCTTCTCTTCCTGGAAAAGACAGCTGACCGGGTTCCTTTCTCCAGCTACATAATCGTGTTCGTTTCCCTTTATTACCTTCTTGCAGATCTGATTTTAAAGAATCCCAGTACTAGTTGTATTAGAAACTTAGGTGCCTTGGGCTCATGTTCATCTAGAATTAACTTGACATAATTCCCCAAATTTATTAAAACCTTCACTTACATGGCTTTAAGTTTACCAAAGAAATGCTTTATTTGAGTCTCAAATATCACCAGCACTGACAGTAACTTTTATATATATTATTGTCTCATTTAATCTTTACAACAATCTTAGGAGGTAACCTGACCATGTACTTTTATTCTCTTTTTATACCGATGTTTTGAGAAATGAACTCTTCAGATCTCTCTGCTCGTAAATGATTATTTAATTGCAAATAACGGATCAAATCCTTTTGCAATTGTCCTAAGAGCATTCTCTGTTTAACCTAGAGCAAAGAGCTCCCATTTCTTCGTAAAGCAAACAGAGATGATTTCACAAATGCGCTTAGGGAAGATTTAAAAATGTAAAGTGTTATGTTGGAATTTGGGTTTTATTTTCCGCTCCCTGAGACCCCCCACTGTTCAAATTGTAAGTCAGAGAGAGAGAGAGTTTTCAGCTGGCTGATCTGTGAGCTATTGAAGTTTTTGCTTAAAAAGGAAATCTGATCTCTGTCTAAGTGGCACTAATGTGTGGGCTGAGAGCTGCTACTGTGAATTCAGCAAGGGATTCATTAGCGCCGTGAACCTCCCGGAGTGCTTTGGATGGGTGACCTCTGAAATAAAAGCAAAACCAGGAAAGATAAGGCTTCATGCATGATCTACAAGACTCCATTTCTGGTGATCTTCAAGATATCTTAAGTCAAGAGTACTTAGGGCCAGAAAGCTAGGAGTTGGGTGGGGAGGGGGAGACCACCCAAAGATTAAATGATACCACACAATAGATTCTTGGCTTTTTGAAATTCTTTGGCAGATCTGTTCCTCCTTCCCCCCACACTATTTTCTTTCCTGGGAATAGTTTTCGTATTATTCTCTTTGCTGGGAAAAATAGGCTGCTGTTTTTGAAATTACCGTGGCACAGTAGAGAAGGCTTATTACTGCTGATGGGGAGATGAAACTGGAAAATACCAGTCAAAATCCTGCTGGGAACCACAGTTGTCGGAGTATCAGACAGCATTGTAAGATTCTGACATGGGCTACGGGGTTAGGGTAGAGGGGCTATTGATTCTGCTAGACTACCCTTCTGGGAGCTTCCTCTTATGATTCCAAAGCTTTCCTGATCACAGGGCATAACTTTTTATTGCAAATCGATACTCTGTATTTGGATTTCAAACCGACTATTTAAAAAAGTATGTCTGCCCTCCTAAACTACGGTAATGTGTCTTGTCCACCATACAAAATGCCATAGCTTAAAAAACGGACCTTTATTTTTTCACAGTTCTGGAAGCTGGAAGTCCAAGATCAAGGTGCCAGCAGGGTCACCGTCTGGGGAGACCTCTCTTCTTGGCTTGCAGTTGGCCACCTTCTCTTTGCGTCCATACATGGCTTCCTCTCTGTTCATGTGGAGATAGAGGGAGGTCTCTGGGGGTGTCCTTCTCTTTTTATGAGGAAAGTCCTATTGGATTAGGGCCCCACCTCTATGACCTCATTTAACCTTAATTATCTCCCTAAAGGCCCTGTCCCAACTACAGTCACATTGGGGGTTAGGGCTTTGACATGTGAATTTGAAGGGGGGACACAATTCAGTCTATAATGACTACAAGAGAACACACTTACTGTAAAGCATTAAACAGTATTGAACTATAACAAGAAAATATAAACTAGTCCCTTCAACTTCTGCCGGTCCAGCCAGGGGACCAGTTGGTTGTGTCTCTCCACACCTTTCCTTTCCTCTTACAAACAACATGGCACTTTTTGATTTTGTTTTTATAGTAGTGAGGTTATATTGTGTATATTACCCTGCAACATGCTTGCTGATTGACTAGGATTAAGTTCATTTTAAAAAATGTATTCAGTTTTTCATTGGTGTTTTCCACGAGGGTTTGTGAACACCTAAAGTTCATATGGGTAGAATTCAGGAGGTCCATTAACTTGTCTATATTAAGAATATAGACAATAAACTATGGTTGTATTAGTGAGAACCTCAGATATTTTCATATTACGTTATAGTTTTGTAGATATCTCAAAATAGCCTATATGCTTTATATTACAATAATGATCGGGTCTGCTACTGGAACATATTATTTAATGTGTTAATAAAGATGCACCTATATTACTATTTTGCAAATTTGTTTTTATAAAATATTTTTAATCATATTTCAATATAATTGGTTTAAAAAAATTATTCCATATATTTTTCCTCCGAGCATTTAAAAATAGGATTTTAGGTAGAGACTCATAAACCTCACTGGACTTTCAAGGGAATCTATGGCAAAAAAAAAAAAAAAATGGTTAAGAACCCCTGCACTAGAGACAAGACTTAATTTCCTTGTTGGGAATATGTCTCTCTGTCCTTGTCACTTTTGTTGTCTACCAATAGGAAAAATTCATAAGGAAGATGGGCGTAGGCCCTGAAGCAAGTCCTTTCTTCAGGCTGGCTCTGGGGACTGAGAAGTTCAGTTCAAAAAAGGAACAAACTTCAAACTGCCAACGCTTCACATTTCTCAATTGGCATAAAGAAGCATTCGAAAACATTCAGATCCCAAAATCTCTTCGTTAAAAGATTCCTTGGCCAAAGCAAAGCAAAGCAAAACAAACAAACAAACATACACTGAAAATTGTCTCTCTTTTAGATCCTCTGAAATCATGATTTGAACCTAATAATAGCCCTCATCTTACTATTTTCTCCCAATTCTGTGCTGTTTCTGTCTGCCCCTATTACTCCCTCTGATTTGCTCCTCTTCCCTTCTGGCCTGACAGGTCCCCTTAAGCTCAGTTGTCTCAGAGTCAAATCTCCCTCAGAATAGACAAAACCCCTATCTATTGATTGCAAGCCTTGGTTTCACTCAGCTGAGAGCTGACGGGATGGGGGAAAATTTGCAGGGGAACTTAGAATAATTTTACGAATGTTTAATACAGGACTCACAGGTCTCTATTAATGAGTGTTGGAGGCGGGGAACTCAGATGCTAAGAAATAAATGGAAAAAGCAGAACTGGAAGCTCTAAATGGTGGTTTAAAGCAGCGGTCCTTAACTTTTTTGTCACCTTAACTTTTTGTCACCGGTGACAAAAAAGTTAAGGACCGCTGCTTTAAACCACCATTTATGAGAATGCTCCTATGAGGATCTCATGCTTGGTGATCTGAGGTGGAGCTGAGTTGGTGATGCTTGCCCACCACTCACCTCCTGCTGTGCAGCCCAGTTCCTAACAGGCCACATGCTGGTACAGGTTCTAGAGCCTGGGGTGGGGGGCAAGTTTGGGGATCCCTGATTTAAAGAACCCTGAATTTCATAGGAAATCAGAGGAGTTTAGAATAGCTGTAAATGTTGGATAAGATCTTCTGGAATCTATCCCCAAAGTCTTCCCTAAGAAAGTAGATCAGCTTCTAATCCAGTCGCAAGTCAAGAAGGATGAATATCTTAGAGACTTCAGGAATAGGCTTTTAACAGCTTTAGACAGCATTCAGGAGATGTAGAAGGGATGTGACTTTTTCCCTCATTCTTTTGATAAATGGTGTTAAGCCAGAAATTGAGTATTTAATACATAAGCATAGATTAGAATAGGAAAATAACCCTATTGCCAGAACTCCAACACCTGCCGAGCATTTGGAAATAGCTTAGGATAAAAACAAAGCAGAAATCTACATGAATTTATGGCCTTGCAGATAAAAACGTGTAGATGCTCTCTCTCATCTCAGTTATTCAATTCCAAAGGAGGGAGTCTTTTATAAAGACAGCTTACAGGTATTGTAAAGACAAAAGACAATGGAAAAGAACTGCCCTGTCTTGGCTAAGAAAACAGCAGAACTATGTAAAAAGTAAAATGATTGATTGATGAGGCACCAGGAGGGATCTGTTGAGCAGAAATTTCTCTAAAGATTAAAGGAACTCTTCTGATTTATTTCAAATAAACGCTTATATTCATTGAATATTCAAAAAAATCTCAGAAATTAAGAAAATCAGACTAATACTTTCAATATGTTAAAAAAATATTCTGCTAGAAACAACTCAAATGATTTAAGAGTCCCAAGTTCAGATATTTTAGGTAAAATTTTGTACACCAGACTAGTTTGTTATTTTTGATTTAATAAAAAAAATTACGTTTTCTCTGATTTAGCATAGTAAAGTATAATAGAAGCTAATGAATTTATCTTTCTTGGGTATGTTCTTAAACTTACACAGGTTTACTGATCAAATAAACTAGTATTTCTTATATTTAGTGTTTATAGTTATGAAAAATAAAAAATTGTGCTGACTTATTTTAAAAATTTAATTTCAACGGTTACTATATTTTGTAGCATGTCAGCTAAAAGATTCATTTCCAAGATCTTTAGGACTGATAGTAAATTGAGTTAATTAATGAATTTTCATTGGATGGCTAGATAATTTCTAAGTAAGATAGAATACTGTGAAGGGGTTCAGAACAGGTCTCCCCAAGATGTGCCACTTTGGCATGTGAATTATTTTGAGGTGAAGGCAGTCAAGGCCTCAGGAGAAACTTTTCCTTCTCCCTGAAAGAATTCAAATTTGGAACCTTGCCCATACTAAGAGTCATCACCAGAAAAAACTTTTACGACCTATCTATAGGGTAGGGCAAACTTGTAATTACTGGACATTTCTTATCATCCTGCAAATGACCTTCCCTAACTCTGAAGTCCTAAGGCATTTTACCTCATCCTGAGCTCCGAATGCCACATACACCTCATCTTAACTTTCTGTCTCTGAACCTCTTACTTATGGGGGGCTCCATATGTAGGTATGTAATTGAAGTTGGCCACTTTCTCTTGCTAATCTGTCTCATGTTGATTTAATTACTAGACCAGCCAAAAGAACATAGAAAGGTAGAGGAACGATTCTTCCTGTGAGCAGAATACATCACCGGCTAGACACTGCTCACCTCGAAGCTGCTGTGGTAGAAAGATCCTGGGACCGCTAACATGAGCCGATGAAAAAAGGTAAGAATTCTTGCAAATTCAGTCTCCTGGAACTCTGCCCGAAGAGTTCGGTAGAAGCAGAGTGGTTTTCTTCCCTTTTCTAAATTTAGATTAGCAGAATAAAATATTTGTGGAACTAGTGTCTTTGGTTATTTGGTATGAGTACTCACGGGTGTTGTTAATTCTGTTTTGGTCTGTCTCTGTTTTTTTCTCTGTCTCTGTCTGGTGTCTCCCCCTTTTTGTCTTGTTAAATGTCCTGAGAACTTAGCCTTTGTGACCAGTGAAAATATTTTCTCTCTGGCCTCCACCATCTGGAGGGCACACTTGCCAGGGTGCACCTTGGTGGGCAATCAAATAGACTGAGGATTCTGGGTGGTTATATCCAGTAGGACAGAAACACAAGATTTTATCTGGAGCTCGTGACTGGTAAGTGGCACCTTTTCGTCTTTATGGCTGACAGTGCCAAGGTCTCAAGAGTTTTCTGCGTCTATCCATTTTCTCCTAAAGATGGTTAAAACGGGGCCCCTTAGTTCTTGTTTTCTGCCAGCTGGAGGATATATATGCATCTGGTGGGCAGCCGAGTAGGCTGTGGCTCCACGCTTAGGGAATCTAAACACCCTATTCTGTTTAAAAAGGGGGAAAACACGTAATTCTCTGTATTTTGGAACGGCTATTTCTAACTCTGGAAGTGAATTTTCTAGGTCTGTGTTTTGTCTTTGGTGAAACCATAAAAAGGCTTATTGATCTGAGTCACTATTAAGATCCTACTTGTCCAGGCCAGATGATGGATCCTTTATATTGGAAAAACTTTTAAATTGAAAAGAAGGAAAACATTTTTTTTTTTTTTTTACAGAGCTCTCATCTTGTTTTAATGGTTAGTCATTAAGATTCCCTTAATAAGATGGAAGGACAGAAATGAGAACAAAAATCAAAGTTCACTCATACCCCTTCCTATTTGCCTTCAGTTATTTGCGGGTATTATAAAAATATCAGGACATTAGAAGTAAAATTGTTCTGCACTTAAGAAAAAGGAAAAAAATGGTAAAACTTTATTAAAGACAACCTAAAAATTTTATGTCTTAAAAACTCGACTGGATAACCGTGAGGTTGGAAGCTCCAAAATAAGGCCAGACAGAAATGTGAGCTGACCTCCATTTCTGGCTAGGGTCATATCAAAATGCTGTCAGCCTCCAAGGAAATTATAACCTAAAATTACAATGGCAATGATGAGGAACATTCCAGTTAGATTAGATCATTTAAAAGTGCACCGAAGAGCAAGGGCTTACAAATCAAATAAACAGAACGAGATACCTAATTTTAATTGGTATGAAAGACTTTGAAAATTTCAAAAGAGCTTCATTGAAAGATTTGCTGCAAAAGGCTAATGAAAAATTAAAGAGATAAAAGGTACCAAAATAGAAGACTGTAAGACTGATATTCTCCCTTAGAGGCTCTTGTCCTCAGATATCTCTCTCTCCCTGGTCTAAGGCCAATCTTAGGGGTCTATTAGAGTTCTTTAACCAAGGGAGGATCCTCAACAGTTTTTGCAAATGGATTACCTCCTGAGCCCAGTGAGAGAGGGAAATAAAATTTCATGGTCCTTTCCTTCGCAAATCCAAACCAGTTGGTTATGACTGATCCTTTCCCCCCTGCTCAGGAATTGCTATTGCCTATCCTCCTAAGGGCTTGGCTCTTGGCTTTCTGCCTGCCCAGGACAGGCAGGCTGTCAGTTTCTCTTTTGGCTATCAGAGGGGATAACTCTGGAAGTTAGTAACCTTTGCACCCTCTTGAGTCCACGGAATTGTTTAATACTGCCAGAAATATTTACTGTTTGTCCCAGCTGAAACCTGACAAAATACTTGAAAGGATTTAATAACTATGATCAGAAATAGAACTAGGTACCCAAAGGGAAAGAAGCAAATTAGGGATGATGTAGTTGGACAAGAGTAGAGTAACCTATGATATCACTTAAGTTACAACCCAATTCTTTGGGAATTGAGAGCAGTTGTTCTTATCTTACATATCTTTGCAAAACCATAACTGCAGCTCCAGAAGTAGTTCAAAGCCCACCTATGTTTATCATCTCCAATTCCTAAGATTGAAGAAGAAAAATAGGAAATGAGAGTTTTTTTGAAAGCACAGACTGCTGCTCTGGCTCAAAGGCTCCCTTGCCGAGGACAAATACAGATATTAATTGTCTTCACCAAAAATATTAATAAGAAAAAGTTTTAGCTATCTGAGCAGACAAACTTAACTCATTCCAACTGTTCTTTTGTAACTAGTGAACTTTGACATTAACATACCTGTCTCATGGCAGTAATTTTAAAATGAAGGCAAAGAGATAGATCTCTGTTTGTGTCTGTCTGTATGTTTCTAGGTGTTGTGTGATATTTTCTACTTCTGGATGGCATTGCTAATTTGTAAAAGAGCTCTATTTAATTGGCTTAAATAAACAAGTGCTTGTATAAAAATTCTCAAAAATATAACAGAAACTAACCCAAATGCTTTTCAGGTTCATGGAATCTGAGGAAAATATTCAGTATTAAAGCTAATTTAAATTTGTTGGTCTAATTAAAACAGGCATGTCTTTAGAGTTATGATAATTAAATATAATACTTTTATTTTACCTGGCTTTATTGGTTAAATAAGTTTGTCATCAAGAAAAAATAACTTAAGATGATGACTGATATTTTGTAATGCCTAATGAAGTTTTTGTAGGTACTCTAGATATAATTGTTAAGATCAATTAAATAGATATAAAGAAAATAAATTTTTTAGTTGAACTTGTTAGCATTAATTATATTTTATGTGCACTTGAAAATGATTTCCTAAATCTCTTTGGTAACTTGAAACTTTAAAGTTTTTCGCTAGCTAAATTAAATGATGAATAGTCATCGAATAGCTAGATCATTTCCAAATAAGATAAAATAATAAAATATTAATTACTCAACATAGGTTTATCCACTTCTGCCTTTATATTACAGAGTAACTAAAGAAATCTATGTTAGTAAACATGTCTTGTGCCCCATCGAAAGATTGTACTACAGAAAAGCATATATTTCTAAAAATCATGGAATGCATTTATAAATTTATCAATCTAAAGAATGCTGGTGTATCAGGCAGTTCACAATTGCTTACTTCTTAATTTTTACCAGAAATCAAAGGTGCTAAAGGTTAAGAATTCTAAATATTTAATTAAAACTACAAAAAAATAATAAGGGAAACAACTTATATAAGAAAAGTAGAATGTGTTTTGGCTTTAAAAAAAGGTATAAAGTATGAAGTATGGATATGCGTTTTTGTTAAGGGAAACAAATTAATTTTGTCCTGGTTTTTTCAGAATGGGCAAGAGAATAAGAACTAAAATGGACACAGAACATTGTAGAAAGTTTATGAAAAAGAAATCTCGAGAAAAAATTTTTTGTGTGTGATCAAGTTGAATAAGATTGGATGAATTTGTTAAAAGTGTTTTTTTTGTTTTTATGTAAGCTTTAATATCAATAGTGTACTAAAACTTAATATTCTTTCATCTGCTAAAAGGACAAAGTTTTCTTGGACTGTTGGTCTACTCCTGATAAGATATTATGAAAAGTTTTCTGCCAACAAAGCAAAGATTCTGTGTTTTATCAAAATAATTTTCTGTGCTTTATGTCACTGAGGTCTTTGATTACTTAAGAAAACTGAATCTTCTCAATAGTAAGAGCTAAACTTCTGCTGTATTTGTCTTTGAAATCTTTTATTGTTACTTTGGCCAAAAAGATAATTAAGTATTATTTCATAATAATCTGTGATCCTATTTAGCCAAATGTCCAAACATTAAGCCTTTTTTATGTTGTATCTATATAGGTGTATGTTATAAGTATTCCAGAAATTGTGTGAAATTCCTGGAAGTCTGCTATGTCCTGGCATTAAATATTGTCTGTTGTCAAAATTGAAGCTCACACTGAAAGGACTGCCTGTAAGGGAAATGGCTTAGCTGACTTTCATGCAAAGGCAGGAGCAAAATCTATACAAATTGTAGCATATGTGGATGAAGTCCATTGGGCTTCTGCAGAGATGACCCCCATTACCAGAGTTTTGCCATCCCGATACCCTTGTAACATGGTGCCAGTCTGCTCCTAAATGAGAGAAACTAAGACTGGTAAACGATGGTTGTAAATCAAACAAATAGTGAGGTCTAGGGGAAACCTAAGAGGGCCTCTTGGTTTTTCCAAGCTCCCTGGCAAACCTCATTTTTCAGTTTTTGCATCCCTTCATTCTCCATGGTGCATTTAAGCTGGACTTCATTCAACTGTCACTTAGTATGGCTGATCAATATGTTCTTGTTGTATGTATGCTTTCTGCATGGATAAAAGCCTTCCTCAGCTGCAAGGCTGATGTCCTCACAGTGGCAAAGAAACTGTGCAAATAATGAATCTGTCCAGCAATCCTTGACTTGGTACATGGTCCTTACCCAACCCTAATCAAAGCCCTACTTTGAAAACCCATCTTACATCAAGCTTCTGATTCTTAGTAAATTCCGACTTTCCCTTCCTCCCTCCCAGACAGCTTTGCCAGGTAGTATTTTCCTTCACTGCAGTAAACAATAAACTCAGCTTTGTCTTACCAAGAATTGCGCTGGTGATATTCGAGGAGACAGTTTTTGATGGATGTTACGGTTGATTTAAAGGAGAAGTCAAAATGCAGACTTTTATAGAGTAGAAATAATGAATTTGCAAATGACTGCAAAACCACCTTTTTTAAAGGAGGGAGCAGGTTATCCCTCTGCCAGACAGAATTTATTTGCATGTCTATAGACAAAAATTACTTGCATTGCTATCAGTTACCTATGATTTATAATCATAAAAATACTCAAAGGCCATGAAAGTTGCAGAGCCACCAAAGAATCAGAATCATATGACCCAGAAGGATGTGCTCTAGACAGTGCATAGTTTTCTACTGAAGCACAAATTCTTCCCTAACCTACTAGGTGTCTAGTGCAGTCCTAGGGTATTTCCCAGACATTGTTGCGTTTAATCTTC